GGCAGGCAGCCTGGGCGGATGGAGTGAGGGGAGGGATGGGGGGAGGGGGAGAGGGGGGAGTGATCGGGACAGGGATGGGGACAGGGATGGGGGGAGGAGGGAGGGATGGGGGAGGGAGGGAGGGAGGGGGGGAGGGGGGGAGTGATCGGGACAGGGATGGGGACAGGGATGGGGACAGGGATGGGGGAGAGTGATCGGATGGGGACAGGGATGGGGACAGGGATGGGGGAGGGGAGGGGAGAGTGATCGGATGGGGACAGGGAGCCGGGAAGGACAATCAAGCGCATGGGATGACAGAGTCGCGATCAGTGGGGCTAGAGGGCGGCCATGTCCCGGCCACAGGGAGGGGACTGCCGCTTGCAGCACGTCAGGCAGCGACAGGGCCAGGGCAGGAGGGGCATACACCCCACACCCCCCCCACACACACGCAACCATGCATCTGTGTACCCTTCTTGCTGTCCTCGCCGCCTGTGCCTGTGCTCTGACTGCTGCTCGCCCTGCCGCCCATGCCTCGGCTCCGCCTGCTCTCTCCGTCCGCCCGGGCGCTACGCCTGCCAGCTACGATCTGTGGATGGATGGTGCGCTGTGGCTGAAGGGTGCTCCTCCGCGACTCCATGCCAACGGGAGATGGTTCTCGGTCGCTGACGGCAGCCTCATGCCGCGCCACTCGTTCTCCCTCAAGGGCATCGACGACATCGGCCCCTACATCATGAACGGCACCATGCTCATGGCCGTCGATGCTGCCCATGCCCAGGACGTCGCCAGCGAGAGCAAGTCCTCGCCGGTGGTTGTGGTGGCGACGGTCAAGATGTACACGGACTCGCCGCACATCATCTTGTTCGAGACCATGTTCCCGGACGGGGCCAACGCGACGGCCATCGACAGCAACGTCACTCGTGCTGCCGAGGGTGTTGCCTCGGAGTACCCGGTCTTCCTCGTCGACGACAGCTACCGCGGCGAGCGCGGCTTTCTCTCGTGGCAGAACCACTTTTTCCAGAACGACGTCATCGCCGCCTTTGGCGGGTCGACCCATGCCGGCATCGGGTCCGGGCTCGACGACTCGGGTCCGCTGGCGATCTTTGCCCGCGACGCGCCGCTGGCGAGCCTCGTCTCGGCCGCGTCCAACTTTATGACGAGCGCCACCTCGTTTAACGCCAGCACGCGCCGCCTGGCATACGGGGTCCTCGGTTCGGTCACCGCCATCCCGCCCGGCTTCAACATGAACACCATCGCCGTGGCCGGGACTGGTGTCACCTCGGCGACCGCGGCGTGGGGTGCAGCGCTTCGCGACATGTTTGGCAAAGACGCTGCCGGCGCCGATCCGACGCTCACTACGCTGCAGTACATTACCGATCACGGTGCGTACTACTACTACCACACCGAGCCCGGGACCAACTACCAGGAGACGCTCGAGGGCGTGAAGCAGTACGCCGAAGCCGCAGGCATCCCCTACCGCAACATCCAGATTGATTCGTACTTTTATCCCAAGGCCAACGGACCGGGCTTGGTGGCGGCGGCGTCCTCGAGTGGCGGGCGCTGCCGTCGGTCTTCCCGCACGGCATGGACGGGATCAACGCCGCGCTCGGGCTGCCCATCACGGCGCACAACCGCTGGTGGTCGGAGAAGACCGGGTACGCTCAGCAGAACGGCGGCCAGTACGCGTTTGCCATCGACGCCACCTCCGGCATGGCGCTGCCGCTCGAGCAGGTCTTCTGGGACGACCTCATGGCCAACGCCTCGGCCTGGCTCACCGTCTACGAGCAGGACTGGCTGTATGTGCAGACGCGCGGGATGGACGCGACGCGGCAGTCGGCGACGCTCGCCCGCGACTGGCTGTTGCAGATGGGCAACGCCGCCGCCGCCCACGGCATCCGCATCCAGTACTGCATGCCCTACCCGCGCCACCTGCTGCAGTCGGTTGAGATTGCGGCGGTGGACCAGATCCGCGCCTCGGGCGACGAGGTGCCCGGCCGCAACGACGCGCACCAGTGGCAGCCGATGGGCACGACGGCGCTGCTGGCGCATGCGCTCGGCCTCGCGCCGTCCAAGGACAACTTTTGGTCGACCGTTGAGCAGCCGGGCAACCCGTACAAGGCGCGCGAGGCGTTCCCGCGGCTACAGGCTGCGGTCGCCACCCTCTCGACCGGCCCGGTCGCCATCGGCGACCGCATCGGCTACTCGGACGTGGCGCTTATTCTGCGGAGCGTCCGCACCGACGGCATTGTCCTCGCGCCGTCGCGGCCGGCCACGCTTGTCGACTCGGCCATTGCCGCCCGGGTCTGGCCGGGCGCCGGGTGCATCGGTCAGGTCTGGGCAACAAGCTCGGAGCTCGGTCCTGTCCTGGCCATGCACCACGTCTTTGCCGCCAACGTCAACGCCTCGTGCCGCATCACGCCCGCCGAGCTTGGGAGCGGCGACGTTGCGACACGGTGGGTGGCGTACGAGTCGAACTCGACAGCAACGCGGGTGGCAGTCGGCGCCGACGGCCTGCTTCTTGAGCCCAACGGCGAGTGGGACTTTGCGCTCTGGCACCTCGCGCCGGCGCTGCCCGGTTCCGAGTGGACCTTCCTCGGCGAGGCTGACAAGTGGGTCCCGGCGTCGCCGGCCCGGTTCCGCGACGTCAACGTCATCGACGGCACGACGTTCTCGGCCATCCTGCTCGGCGCGCCGGGCGAGATCGTGACCGTGGCCTTTGCCGGCCCGCCGCCGGCGCTGGCCGTCGCCCACGCGTCGTGCACCATCGGGCCCGGCGGCGTCATCCACCTCATGTTTGTCATGGACGGCTCCGGCTCGTTCAAGTGCGCATAAACTGGTTTAACAAGCCGCGCGTGGGCGTGCAACGGGGGTTGTGCGCGCAGACAGGACAGGACACGCGCGTCCTGGCGTCCCAAGCTGAGCGCACAGTGAGGGTGGATTCGGCCATCGGCAGACGGTGCGCTTGCAGGCGCGCCGTTTCCCGCCGACGGCGTCATGATACGTTGCAGCATGGAGAGCGCGGGCGAATGCGGTGCCTTACCACATGGCGCAAGCGCCGCCGGAGCCCCTGGACTTGGACTTGGCCTTCTGGATGTACTTTTGGTGGTACTCCTCGGCATCGTACCAAGGACCGGCGGGAGCGACTTCTGTCGTGCACTGAGGGCCCATGGCGGCCTTCTTGGCTTCGGCGACGGCCTTCTGCTCCTCAGACGCGTACCAGATGGCGGAGATGTACTGGCGCTTCTTACCGACCGGACGAGAGCAGGCGTGCGAGTCGAAGAAGATGTCGACAAGGGTGTCGTAGGAGACGACGTTGGGATCAAAGGTGATCTGGATGGCCTCGGTGTGGTCACCCATGGAGCGATACGTCGGTGACTTTGTTGTGCCGCCGGTGTAACCCACAACCGTGCTCACAACGCCGCGCGTGGCGTCGAACAGCGGCTGTGGGTTCCAGAATCAGCCCATGCCAAAGGTGGCGATCTCGGTCTTGGGGGACGCAGCCATTGATCTGCCGAGGGACCGAGGGATGATGGGTGAGTACGATGACGATGACGATGACGATGACGATGACGACCACGAACACGATGACGATGACGATGACGATGCCGATGACGATCACAATCACGATCACAATCACGATCAAGATCACAATCACAATCACGATCACAATCACAATCACGACTACGAACACGATCACAATCACAATCACGATCACAATCACGATCACGATCACGATCACGATCACGATCACGATCACGATCACGATCACGATCACGATCACGATCACAATCACAATCACGACTACGAACACGATCACAATCACAATCACGATCACGATCACGATCATGATCAGCCCCCCCCCA